GGGAAACCAGTTTACCAGCATAATTATAAAGAAAGGGACAATTCTGCTTCTTTCACAACAGGCTTGAAAACCTACCAAGATGATCTCATACCTGTTAGTAAACTTCACACCGTTCTTCTGTGTATCAACTATTCCATATTTTGAATTGTTACGGAGCACTTTTTCCTCCTTGCAAGTTATTCGAAAGTGATGTCCAAACTGTGAATTTGTTTCCAGTTTGATACTTTTGCCAGCTTCCAAACCTTTTAGATGAAAAGAAAGAAAAAAGAAAACAACTGTATTATCGAAAATCCTACAGCCTGTGCAATCTCTGCTCACTAATCCCCAGTTTGTATGATGTAGCCTCTCTCAGATATGCTATTCAGTATACTTTCTTGGTTCTGTACAGGTGTAAGAAATACCCAGACCTAACAGAAGCTTACTGATTCATTCTCTGCTCTGACATGGATATGCTCTCCAACTGCATATCCAAAGTAGGTTCGCGATTATTGTATTACTACAGATTCTCCAGAAATGTGAAAAATGTTTATAGCCCACTGCAAGGACATTCTGTATTGCTGCTGTAAGCACAGCATCCGTAGTCTTGTGATCCTTTTACTAACACAAACTTCTGCTGGTGAGATTTCTCATTCCATCCCTACACAAGTTGGTTTTTCCTTCTTTTCATCCATGTATCTTGTTTACACTAAAAAAAAAAAAAAACAAACTTAAGACCCAAAAATATGCAAGCCCTTAAAGGTGTTAACCTAAAATAACTATGGTGTTCCTGTTTTCCTTAACATATTTGCATTAATTTTTTTTTTCTTTTTAAGTTGCTCTTTGAATGCCAGATTAATCAGCTGAACATGGAAATTTTTTGCATAGGATAATCAATTCCTTAAATGTCTCATTTGCTTACACATTACATTGTGCAAAGAATTGTAAAAGGAAAATAGCATGTCCTGAATGAACACTCAGGGGGATGCACAGGGAAAGAAAAAAAATAAGTTTCAATGCATATCCTCAAAGAAAGTAAAATAGAACTAGGGTTAGCCAAGAGTTAGATGAGTTTCTTCTACAAAATGAATTCTGCAATATCTTGCAAGATACATGATAATTTCTGAAATATTCTGGAATGCCATCTTTAAAAACAAAAAAGGCCAAGTTATAAGCCAAAAATACTCAGTTTTCAACAGATTGTACTGTGATAACTAAAGTCACCCCAAACTAATAACAAAGTAATACAAACATCCCTTAACTCTTTTATACCAGTTGTCATCATTTCATCTCAAAACATTTTACAAAGGAGGTAAGAATCAAGGGTAGTTTCATACCCTACCTAGTTCTTTGGCTGCACTCTTTAAAAAGGACTGCATTTTTTCTTCCAGTTCATTCATCTTCTCTCTTAATTCTGTTAAATTAGGATCAAAAGAAGCCTTGACAAGAAATTCATGATTCTCCACCTAGGGAAAAATAACAAGAAAAAATTCACATTAACATAGGAAGTAAAAAAAAAAAAATCACCTCCCTGATCATACACAGTGAAATGAATTTACTTAATAATTTATTCAATTTATTTTTTATATATAGAATTTTGTAATGCAATACTGTTTGTGATAACTGGTGTCTGATTCAACTACAAAACTAATACATCTCAAACAGTTGTTTTCTCAAATATTATACAAGGAAAATATACCAATTTAACGGACTCCTTTACTTTGAAATTGAGTTGTCTCAATTTTGCACACAAATAACTGAGCACTAGGCAGGAAAAAAAGGGAAGTCAGAGGAAATGAAATTGTTATGTACATAATCCGTATGCTAGCCTGGACTTAGGCAGCCAATCAAGACAGAGTGTAAAAGGATACAGTGCTACAAGAAGTCCTTGGAAACAGAAGTTTCTGAAACAGTAATTCCTGCCCAAAACACACTCAAGAGGTTATGGAAGGAGCATACATAATATCACCAAAAATCCTATCCAATTTCAACCCAGTTATTCTGAGTTGAAAAGCATACACGTTTCCTTCCAAGATACATTTTCAGAGGCACAGATGAAGTAAGTTGTATTTCATCTTTTTCTCTCTCTTCCCCATGCTTCCACTGCCAGGCATGTGTTTCTTATGACTTTACAAGCCTCAAGTTTAATTTGCAAGCACAACTTATAACTGCTAAATAAAAGAAACTTGATTATTAATATACAAACTTTTACAATCAAGAAAATATTAGCATTGTTGTCTGCCATGGAAACTAAGCACTCTAAGTACTGGATACATATTAGTAATATATTTCATCTAATTAAGTTAAAAAAAACCCCAAACAAACAACAAAACAACACTTCCATGAAGCTTCCTCTAGCGAGGAATTATCTGCAAAGTTGTGGACAAAGCAGCTGCCAACACTTTGCAAAACACACTGAAACAAGATGGTGGTTTACATACAATTTCACTTTTACCCACAAGTGTATGTGAGGAAGAAGAGGAAAGAGGTTCACAGTTCCCTTACTCCTTCCCAGACAATAAAATATCATTCCAGAAAACACTGAGCAACAGGAACTGTAAATGCAAGAACCACCACACACACCTTGTTCTACTAAGCACAGGAAGCACTTGAAATATGCAGTGCATCAAAACAATTTTAAAAACATTAGACTGAAGACTCACAGGTTTTGCAGCAACTTGGAACAAAGATCTGGGAATGCAATCTGGAGAGGAAAGCCACAGGGCCTATATATTTTTAATTTGGTATGGGAGGACAAGTAAACCATCATATGAAGGAACTGCATATCATACTGTATATTCAAAAGATTGCTACTTTATTCTGAGAATTATCTTCTCCCAACAGATAATCTGATCCTCCACAGAAGTTGCATCATGGAAAACTGGAGTGTTAGTGCTTGTTTTCTTTGTGTAATTACCAGCATTGCAAGGCATTTCACTCAGCCTGACGTTTCAGTTACAGTTGTGCTGTACGCCAACACGCTGCAGTGGCAAAGTTCTCCAGTTGCTTGACCAGAGATATGGACACCACAAAATAATGGATTATGAGATTTTAGAGGACCATTTTCAAACTTGGAGGCATTAAGAAAGGGGTAAGAACAAATTCATTCCCTGTTATGTCCCAGATGATAGGCCTGTTCTTCCTATTCCCTTCACTCTGGAAAAAGAACAGCAATGAACACCTCTGACAGAGCATACAGCAGAAACAACCATTCCTCGTTCCGCAGGGCAGATCCTGGATCTGAAACAGAAGCTGGAAAGGCTGGGATGCAAACGCCAGGCACAACAGCCCTTGTCACAGCTGGCTTCGTGAGACAGCCAAGGTTGACAGTCAGGTGAAAAGTAAATTTGTCTCACAGCTTCAAAGAATTACCTGAAGCCTGGAATAAACTCCAGAAATCCCATAACCTGAGGACAAGGATGGTAACATTGCCAAGGACCCATAAGGCTCTGCCAGCCTCAGCAGGGCACCCGGACTGGCTGTTGGTTCCAGCTTTCACCCAGGCTGCCATGTCAGAGAGGCTGGCCAGAACCAAAGCCATGCCCAGCACTTCCACCCTTTAGGGCCTCCTTGCTGCAGACAAGCTTTCATTGCAGTGCAACTGAACATCCATGGGTGGCTACAGCTTATAACATCCAAAAAAGCTATGTTACTGCCTCACCCACCACCAGTCCTGCAGTCTGATGGGATGGAGTTAGTTTTCATGTGCTTGTTGATAACTCCATTACAGCTCCAACAGACCTGTGATGACAAATGAACCCAGAGGCTGCTAGTGTGCAAGAAATAAATCCTAAATTGCCATGAAGTTTCATGACAGGAGCATTAAAGTAAAATTACTTCAGCTTCTGTCTACATTAATAGCCTGGGTTATGGACTGTAGCAGTTCAAGAACCAGTTCACAGCAGACCAGGCACTCCAGCCCCAGGGTAAGTGCCTGGTGGCTTTTCCAGGTGTAGATACAAAGTATTTAGGACATCTAGCAGCCTATATTCCATTACCTTAGCCTGAAAAATCTGTATTTAAAAATGTGTAGGATCCAGATTTGAAAACAGCTTCTAATATATTGCTTTACACACCCCAACTATTATAGGGCAGTTCCTTCCTCACTCAAGTCTCATGAAGTAACCCTTTACCAAGTGACAAACAGAACTGCTCCATCTTTACCACACTTTCCAAGTGAAAGCCAAGTGGGATTAAGTGAAGAGAAAATTTTTAAAAATTAAATTAAAAGCTTAGCTAAACTGCCAAGGAAGTAAAATTATTATCATTTACTAAAAATATTAAAAACTAGCGCTGTTAATTAATATGTAAAAAAATCAGGCACTCACAACTATATTAATGTCTTCATTCCTCTCAAGCTGTGCTCCTCCTACAGTAGTTATCTCAGCTATAATTAGGTAAGTAATTTAAAGCAAACTTTTGCTTTTCTCTTCCACAGCCCTCAGTGTGAACATGGCCAACAATCTGTCAGGACAACATTAAGAGTAACGTGGTACTTGTGTTCTTGGTGCTTTGTACCTAATGAATCTACCATTAGTTATGGTCCTGGAAGACTACACCTCACCAGAAAAATGGAAGGAAATACCAGTGAACCCAACTCAGTCCTCTCTCATCTCCTCAAAAGAATAAAAATACTCAACATCATTGTGACATTTCATCAATATATTGATTGCTGAAATGCACTCAAGTCTAAATTACAACTCAGTACTGCATTAAATACAAATGTTAAATTTATTTCAGAGATTAAGGAAATCCAACAGATTCTGAACACTCTTGCCACCATCTTCACTCTATATTTAGCCTTTTACAGGCAAAAGTCATGCAAAGGGTTATAAGTAAAATCCTTAACACAATATGGGTAAGAAGCAGCTAGACATTCTCTTTTGTTCTACTAAACACACTGCTTTTTTTTAAGTAAGTTTCTGCTCAGAGCTACTCTGAAGTGAATGTTCAAAGTATGAAATATTTAATGTGGTAAGTAGCAGACTTAAAATCACAGCATTAACAGCACTTTCATACCTGCATGAGTTTACTTACATGAAATAAGACCCAAGTCAGTCACATTTCCAAAGGGTGCTCAAATAAATGAGGTGACAGCAAATAATTCATAGGCTTTGAGACTATGTTGAGCTAACTAGCTAATCTGAAAAACAAGTCTTTCTGTAAAAGGCTATGCTCTTAATACTCAAACCAAAATACTATATAGGAAAAGCATTAACAAACTTTGAAGTTGCCCTGACTTGAGGAGGAGGTTGGAATAGATGGTTTTTCGAAGGCCCCTTATGATTCTGTGAAAGACAGAAATGGAAGTGATAGCTTCTCAACTTCTATTACAGTTAGGTAAATGAATAACCACATCCCACACTTTTTGAACCTAAAGTTTCTTTTTATATTAGAATGCATTATTGACATAATTTAGTTGCTATGACAACCTGTCCTTCAATTACACTGACAACCAAGCTGGCTATTTTGTTTGAACTCCCTAAAAATCTAAGAGGAATTTCAAGTCAAAGTTCAAGTTTTAACATTCATACAGACAAGGTTTATTCTTATGGTACAAACAGTCTTGGCTTATCTACAGTCATTTTCCAGTATCTTGAAGGGGGGAAAAAACAAATCCAACACACTGGATTCTATGGGACTTGATTAAAAATAACTGACTTGTTATTCTGTTTAGAAGGACAACAAAACATTTTGAACATAGAAGCTGAAAAGACATTTGAAGAGCTGGACTACGAAGGGTGAAGGCTTAGAACAGCTGTTAGTTTTAAAGAAACCAGAGTCCCAGGGCATACAAACTGCATCAACAGATGGTCTGTAACTAGTATAAAGCTATAAATTTCTTCATTAACATATATCACAAATTACAGCAACATGTCAATCAAACAGTCTCCTTAAACAGTAAAACGCAGTCGATGAATGCGTACACAATACAAAGAGATAAAAAGCACTGCTTCTGCCTTTGGAGAAAAATATGCATGGCCAAAATTTTAAAGCCCTTGTAGTTTTCCAAAGTTCAACACCTTGCCCATACTACCATGCCTGGCACATGGTTAGGTAGATCTCTTATTTCTACAAGTCAGCTGAGATTCACACTTAACGACACTAAAAGCCTATCAAGTTTTCCAAAATGACTGAAACATCTTATTGAGAAAGGAACATTAAACACATTTCTAACCAAGCATATACATTTCAAAATGCGTCTCATCAATACTCAAACAAATATAATGGGAAAAAATGATGTGCAAAATTCACTAAAAGCTTTGGCATTGTTTCACCCAGTTAAGCAATGGCTCATGTTTTTGCCTAAGTGTTCAATGTTAAACAACGATAAATTTGTTATTTATACTCATCTCTTGTCTTTTCCACTACATGTTTAAGAAACAGCAATGTTGCTTCCAGTTTTCTTTGGCCAATTTTTCCTCTGAAAAAAATGTCAGTTTTCCCTTGCAAGCATAGTCCTAGAATCAGTAATATTTTATAAGCAAGTGTAGATGCAAGGCTAAGACAATTGTAGCAGCTTTCTCTCTAATGAGAAACGTCTGTACGCTGGAAAGTAAAATCAGTATTTATACCTAGGGTCAAACATTTTTCAGAGAGGCAAACTGTTAGTTATGAAGACTTAATACCACCAAGGAGAATCAAGTCTAATGAACTTTACAGAAACAGAGAAATATGTAATAAACATATTCTTGCTACATTCTAGATTTGAGACTTATCACAGTAACTTTGAAAATACAAAGAAGCAGAAAAGTTACAGAACTTCCCCACTTTTAATACTGATGAGGTTTTATAAAAGAGTTTCTGGTACAAAGCATCCATGTACCCAAAGCATTTTCTCATTGGCTAGATATGTTCAGTCAGTGAATGAATATCCTCTTGATATTCAACTGCTATACTAATAACAGTCTTCATATATTCCACAGCTACAGTATCATCAACTACTTAATATAGATGATCAATTAAATTTAGTGAGCGTAGAGCAGATTGCAAAGTTCAATAAGAAACTTTAATTGCTAAGTAAACCCCCTCCCACACACCAACCCATACCTTATCCATGTCCAATGTTGTTTCTATCATCTCCAGAAACTTTGAGAAGTCAGAGTAGATATCATTAAGAGGTGTTATAAATACTGCCAACAACAACATCTGGTGAGCTCCTGTTAAGAACAAACAAGAAAAATTATCATTCATAAAACCCCACAACTTTACCAGAATTCACTTATCCAAGATAAACAGCTCAACTATATAGCTGGTTTATTTTAAGATCAGTTATGATTATTTCATTGACATATGCCTATCTTTTTCTGAAATTGGCATTATCCAATTTATATTCTGATTAAGCTTGTACCTATTCTGTCATTTTTCTTCATATCTGCTAGTATTAATTCTCTTCTACCATAAGTAAAACTACAGACAAACAACAGTTTGAAAGCAAACCTGTTGCCCAAACATTACCTATTCTTGCACATAAAAAGTTGAAACAGCTTTATTATAAAAAGTGTATTCTACAGCAAGCAATTTTAAAGATACAAAGTGGAAGTCTCATCATCCACACTCAAGAGTTTTTAATTTTTCTTAATTCAAAATGACCAAAAATTGGGAGTATTTAGTCGGTTGCAATGTGGACACAAATAGAAATGGAAGTGTACGATTTTTGGTTTTGTCTTCCTTAAAAAATACCACCCACTCTAGACAGATCTTTATAGTCACTGATCTTTCCACTAACCAGGAAGTCATCAAAATTAGTCTTTTCCAATGTATCTTGTTAGCATAGATACTCTGTAGCACCAAGTATAACTGCACAGCACACTGGCTGGAAGTCCACAGAACATGGACATGAACATCAAATGCAAAATGCAGTTCACAGTTAATTTAGCATGCACAGATTTTGCCAATTTTGTGAAAGGGTATTTTTTTCAGGCCTATAAAGAACCACCTATCCAGCAGCCAGCTGTGAAAATGCTCTGTCAGTAAGTGGATGTTTAAATCTTTGCAGCTACTTCAAGTTAGGATTTAATGACAGAAAGATTAGCATTATTGACTATATGATTTACACAAAACACCTCAAAAAAGAATCCAATACTATGAGCTTATAGTAATTGGATTATGTACAGAATTACAGTATTTGCCTCCGATGTTTACAGGCAAGGCTTTGCACATTACCAGAGAAACACAGAAGTCAGCTCTGGCTATTCCAGAGCCTCCCAATTTCTTATCAGACCAGGGGAAGTGTCCTAATCTTTCCTAAAAAAAAATTCCATACAAATTTATAAAAGTCACACAGTGAGGAACTGATTACCCAAGGGAATCTCTCTCCTCTCTCAGCACTGTAACTGAAGTAGAAAGAAAAAAGTTTGGTTTGTTTCCTTTTCTTCCTCCGCCTTTTTGCTTCCCCACTTCCCTAAGCTTTTAAAGTTAAAGCTCTTAACTCTTAAGTATCTATTAATAGAGCATAAAAACTATTGAACTTGTAAAAATCAAGTCTTCTGCTGACTAAAAATCTTCAAAACTAAGAAATGTCTGAAATAAAGTACAGTTTACTTTTTATTCCAAATGTCTTGCTCTCTGGCACACCTTTTTTTTCACCCCTTCTGTAAGAAGACAAATCTAAAGCAACCTAGAAAATAAACGGAGGCAGTAAAGAGGGAAGAGACTGAAGAACAGAAAAGAAGTTTCACATCCATTCTTCAGAGTGGCCTTAGCAGTCCCAGTGCACCAGCTGACAGAGTGCAAGGCAGATACAATTAAATGGTCTTCAGTATTCTTGAATAATGAAAAATTATTTTGCTTGAACTTAAAGTAGCAATTACAATTTCTTTTCTTGAAAGCAGTAAGAAGGAAAGTTTCATGATACCATTTAATTACTTCATTTTGAAGAGTACATCTTCAGACACCATAGGAAGAAGTGACATTCAAAAATTAGAAAACACTGATTTATTAAGTAAACAAAATACTATTATATTTACATATATTTATGATATGGTTCAAACTGATACACTGCAAAATTCATTTACACTTTCAATCCAACTTCATATCAGTATCCAACACTTGAAGGAAGTAAAATAGTAGAGTCAGTGAATACTGAGGATTTATAAAAGTTGTATGTCTATGCTTTCCTTAAAAGCATAACACTTGGCATTAAGAGAATATGAGCAAAAAACACCATTGAAAATTTCTAAGTTAAACTCCAACTTGTCTTGCATCTGCGTTCATAAACTCATATAAAAGATACATGGTAAAAAACCACTTTTGCACCTACTCAACATTATTAGTGTGTAAGCTAACCATTGAGAAAGAATATTAGACCTACATACCATCAACAGCAGAGATGCATATCGATTACAAAGCCTATCTGCTCCCAGGTACAGTTTTTAATTTAAATCATAATTTACTTATTGAAGCACAAATAAGTGTTTATTACATGGGTTAAAGACTTCACTACTAATACGGTTTCAAACGTTGTACAGAAATCAAAATCAAGCACTAATCTTCAACTTAAATAGTTAGATTGGCAGTAAACAGAAGTATGAAAACTGACATTATTCTATCAAGGGAAAACAGACATATCTTGATGACTAAATGAACTTAAGTCAGCCATTTGGATGGTACAAAAGTTCTTAGAAAAAAATCATGAGGAAAAGAACAAGGAGCAAAACAGAAACTGGGATAAAATACAGTATGGGTTTACTAGAAGTGGATCATACCTGTATAGAACAACATCTGTCTGAGATAACTGACTGCCTAAAACAAAGGGAAACCTGTAAACCTCATCTGGGCTTTTCTGAAGTGTTCCATACAGTGTCACATGGGGTCCTAAGATGCAAGATTCATGACTGATCAAGAGGCAGGTAAAGATGACATCACAGATTTGCAAAAGATTAATAAATTGGAAGAACATTATCAATACAGGTCCTCCACGGCTCACAGAAACTTTTATCTTTTTAAGATGTGTGAATTACTGACATTAATGCACAAAAGAAGGCTGCTTATAAAATTCACTAATATATACAATGTGGAAGATAGCAGCAGATGAAACTGAAACAAAATAAATCAGGAACATCTCTAACCTTGAAAACTGGGCTAATAGAAACAAAGTAAACTTTATCAGTGAGTAAGATGACACATTGATAAATGAATTTTCACTATGAGTAGAGGAACAATCAGCTGGAAATTACAAACGATGGGAAACAGCCAAGTTTGATCACTACATGGTTACAACACACCAATGCAACAGTCATGGGAAGAAAAGTACTGGAACATGCAGTAAGAGGTACTTCCAAAAGCAGTAAGGGGGTGTTCACAGAATCATAGAATGGTATAGTTCGGAAGGGGCCTTAAAGATCATCCAGTTCCAACCCCTCTGCCATCAGCAGGGACACCTTCCACTAGACCAGGTTGCTCAAAGCCTCATCCAGCCTGGCCTTGAACACTTCCAGGGAGGGGGCATCCACAGCTTCCTTGGGCAACCTGTTCCAGTGTCTCATCACCCTCACAGGAAAGAATTTATTCCTAATATTCAAACCACTGTATACAATATCATAAAGATACACCTGAAACTCAGCATAAAATTCCTGTATCCTGTGTATTTACAGGCTTAAAATAAAGAGTGGCAGTCTGAGATGAGAAGGAAGATGCTTCAGCAGCTTCTTGAAGACAGACACCCTGTAAGTACCTAGATTTTATGCCCCAGCAATTTGAGTAACGAACTGTTTCCCATTGCCAGCAATAGCAAAATTATTTGATGACTCAGAGTCCTTTCCTGTCTTATGCAGGTTTCTTATGTCTAAAAAATAAAAAGTCACGTTCACTCACTACCTTCCTCTTCAGCTTTCATCATCCACAAAAACAAGTATCTCAACAAAGCAATGCTTCATACTGAGGTAAAGGCAATCACTGCTGATCACTTCACGGTGTAATAGCTCTATCTCCCCATAAACATTCATGAGAAAACGAAGTTCTGAAACTCACAGATACTCAGAATTATCAAAAATCTTGCTGACTTTCCATCTCTTGATGAGTTAAAAGATTTTTTTTTACAGTCCTAAACAGGAAAATGATCAGATCCAGTCTGAATCAGTCACACACATTCAAACTTACCAGACCATTATTGTACTTTATACAAGGGCATACAAGCGCAAAGAAAAACAGAAATGACACATTTCACCTAATTTAAATTATCTCAGATATACTGCTGATAAATGCCCTAGTAAGGCTGACTGATTCACATGTAAAACAGCAAGAACCTTTTGCAGTCTATTAATTTTTCCATATGGTGAGCTTAGCAGTTTGCCTTACACAGCTTGCTCCTCAGAACTTCTAAAAATGGAATTGTTCTCCTACCCCAAGGTTATAACAGAGAAACTCTGTTGATCCAAATAACAACAAATAAAAAAAAGAAGTAAAGACAGAAAGCAAGCATTTTAAACTAATACCTCAAGATTAAGACAGAAATTCAAGAACTCCATGCCAAGGCAAAAACAAGCAGAGCCTGTTTGGAAAAGCCAAATGGACATGACTGAGGCAGCTAAAGCACAGCTCTTGGCACAGCTCTTAAAAAAAAAAAAGTTTTATCTGCCAGTTTTAGATTTAACTGCTTTTAGAAATAGCAGAGTCAGCATTCAAAAATTAATTAATTTATTTAAGATTAATATTTTGAAAAGAAGTTTCATTTCTTGAAGTCATAAAACTATAGTACAGAAAAGTATTAAATACTGGGTAATATTACATGTTTAATATGTATGACATAATATGTCTACTTAAATACAGGAAAAATTTTTGTAGCTGAACCATTTAAAATTTTTTTTCCCTTTAAGGTTTGGTGCTTGCTTTATGCAAAGAGATTTTCAAACAAATTAATAGGCTTCTACAAAAATATGTTTTCTGACAGGCTAGGACTGCTATTGCTGTATTAAATCACCCCCCTGTTATGCTGACACTAATCTTATTCTGCATTTTCTTGGTAACACATAGAAAAGGAAAAGAAATAGCAACCTCTGTATTTTCTAGACTTGTCATAGCATTAAGCTTCCTGCCAATGAAGATGAGAAGAAACCCTGCCACGTTGCTCTTATCAAATACAGGACCATTACAATTTTTTTTTAAAAAAGCACCATTCAAATTATTCCAATAATGCTTAAACTAGGGGTTTTTTGCATTTAATTACAACTCAAAGTCCAAAGTGTCTTCAAAAGGAACATAACGATATTGTATGAATAGTTATCTTGTTTTTAAGATCATAATACACACATAATTGGTCAGGAATTCTTAGCAACAAGTTGACGTTAAAGATTATCAGACCATCACCCACCAGTTCAAGTATTTCAGTTACACACTAATTGGAATGCTTTTTTGTGCAAAGATTTGGCTATGTTTATTTTTAAGTATCTGATTGGTATTTCAGAATTTCATCTCATTTCAAATTCAAATGTCTTTAAGCTTTATTCCTGCAACAAAAGTACACACACAAAAAACTAATCTTCAGAAGTCTACACACTATTTCTTTGCATCATCAATGTAGTATAAAACACTGAAAATAGATAGGGGTAGAATTACCTTCGTGTTTTTCTAGTGCTTGTACAACATTAGGCAGTTGATTAATAGCCTGATACATTCGGTAACAGTCCTGTAAGTTTGCTGCTTGTCTCTGAAATTTCTTTGCCAGCCGGTTAAGATCTGGGAAGCGACGTAAGAGATCTTCTTGAAGGCACTGACGTAGCTCTGGATCCACCACAAAAGATTCAACCAAATTCAACCTAAAGAATAAATTCATAACAATGATTAACATGGCATGGTCTATAATTCTTTTATGTCACTAATTAGAGTGAAAACATTTATCTGGCAGTTTCTATCTATCCTATGGCTGTATCCATTGGTCAGCTTCCCTGATAAAAGAACAAATGAAACTAGGACAATGCACGAGCTGAGAAAGCAAGGATATTTAGCCTATGCTATGCCTCTGTAGTTTTTAACAGTTGAGGTATCTAATAAACAGCATTAGAGTGAAACTGTTTCAAGTGTAAATGCCAACATCCATTCTGTAGGTATGTTGAAGCTCATAATCTACTTTGAGATCAATCCTTTCCCTGCACCACAAGTCATTCAGTAGTCAACGAAAGAACAGATAAGTAGGAAAAACTCACACTGTAGGAAAAAAAAAAACACTCTAGGCAGAATTTATCTGCCTGTGGTCAAAGCCAACACTGACACTGCGCAGCTGTGCAACCCTGGATCACAAAATCAGAATCCTTGAGGTTGGAAGGCACCTCTGGACACTGACTACTCCAACCTCTTTGCTCAAAGTAGGGTCAGCTAGAGCCAGCTGCCCAGGACTGTGTCCAGTCACGTTTTGTGTATCTCCAAATTTGGCCCCCATATCAACTTTGGGGATACACCAATAGTGAGTGGCCTCCAGCTGCACTTCACGCCCCTGATCACAATCCTTTGAGCCTAGCAGTTCAGCTAGTTTTCAGTCCATTACACTGTCTACTTATCTAGTTTGTACTTCATCAGATGTAATGGGACACAATAACAAAAGCCTGCTGAAGTAAAGATAAACAATAGTCACTGCTCTCCTCTTACCCAACGACCTAGTTAATTTGTTGTAGGCAGCTATCTATCAGGTTGGTCAGATATAATTTTCCCTTCATAAATTCATGCCAACTACTTCCAATCACCATCCTTCCCTTAGTACATTTAGCAACACTTTACAGGATTATTTGCTCAATCACCTTCTCAAGGAGGAAGATGAGGCTGACCAACCTGTAATTCCCTGGATAGTCTTCTTTGCCCTTCTTGATGATTGGAAGAAAGCAAATGTCACTCCTATCGTCAGAAGCCTCCTCCAAGTATCATGACTTTTCTGAGACAATCAAGATTAGCTCCACAATAACCTTGGCCAGCTACCTCAGCACTTCTGGGTGTACTCCTTGGGTCCCACAGATGTGTGTGTCCAATTTGTTTAAATGTTTGCTAACCTGATCCTCCTCTAACGAGGCTGTGCCTTCTTTACTCCAGACTTTGCCACTTGTTTCAAGCGCTTGGGATTCCTAAAAGCAAATCTTACTAGCAAAGACCATTGTGAAGAGTTGTGTAAGGAAGAGGTATAAGAAGCCTTGTCTGTGGCCTCTTCCATCTTCACTCAGGAGTTGCATTCAAACTAAAGCCCTTATCCTTGGTTCTCACCTGCACTATGCTGCAGCCATGCCCATACCTGGCTATGCACCTGACCAATCCATACCGTGACCCACTGACTTGACTTCCTTGCTTCATCTCAGATCATCACCATAGACTTGGCCTGGAGACCCAGACTGCTGGTCGAACCTCGTTACTGTCACCAGACATACCCTGTTTGCCTCATGTAAGTATTGGAGGACTGTGTTCTTATCAATGAGGGTACTGTCTCTACCTGCCTTGTTGTCATCACTGACTCCCAGCGTACCCTGCCCTTGATGCTGCTGCTCCCTGACTTTTTTTTTTTAATTGAAAAGTAACTATGTTTTAAGTGCTGAAAACAGGCATAAATCTCGATGAGAAGCAACAGAGCACTACATTATATTTTTCCCCACTAGAATGTAAGAGAACTTTCATACATTTCTTTCTCTTTTGCAGCGGTTACTTTGCAATTGCAGTCAAACAAAGCGAGTCAGATATTGTTCACTTTGGAATGCCAAAGAGTTCAGTGTTCTTTGGTCACACTTTAGGAATACGAAGGAAGACTTCTGCCCACTTCAGAGACCTCTACACATGACATAATGTGTTGATTTCTGGTTAATCACATTAACATACTATCTACCAGTATCTTGGCTTCATCAGGGAAGTGAATTTCATTTAGAGAAATGCAAGCAGAGAAAGGATACCTTTTACCACATTATCTCTACTGTCTGACTTAGTGTCAGAAAACTGCATCAGTTTCAATAACAGGAACATTTGTATTTGCAAACTGCATTGGCAATGACAATTTATTTTGTCATTTTGAAAGCAGTAACCTCTGCATTACACCACGCAGTGTTCAGCAGAGAGCTAGACACTTGAAGCAATACACAGAGATTAATAAGGTACACTGCCTCAGATAATTAGCAAAGACAGTCACTCAAGAAACAAAGCCTTTGTTGAAGGTAACACAAGAGAGAGACCCCCTGGACAGGTAGAAGTACATTTCTATATCCAAAAATTCAAAAGGAATGACATTTCTGTTGTAAATAGTGTTCTACCCACACCACTCCAGTGAACCTCCTGTATTATACCAAACAAAATCAATGAAAAAGACAAGACAGGAACCCTACCTCTACATTTATCCATTCAACTACCGCCTTAATAAATAAGTTTAAAGATTGACAGTGCTGACCCATAATAGTGCTTCATTTCCAAAAAGGACGGGAAACATGAGGAATCTCTAAAAGATACACTGAAGTTTCAGCATGCATACAGAGATGGGGAGAAGGAGACAGGAACATACTTGAGATATCTACCGCAAGAACACAGAACAAGATTTGTATAAGAAATGTAATAATAGTAAAATAATTTCCAATTTTGATGCCTGTTGGTGTTTCTGAGCATAATTTCTAGCTTTCAGACTTCTGTCAAAGGTTTTGGAGGAATAACAAGAATTACAGATTCTGTCACAACTAATATATTGCTGCCTTTATTAAAAATCCCCCAAATTTACATAGCAGTTCTATCTTAGGACTCACTTCACAAACTTTTCTCAGAAGTGCCAGCAGCGACTGGTGACCAAACACATTTTGTAAAGACCAGATTTTTTTCATGTTAAAAACAAAAACTGAAACAACCCAAAGACATCCAATACAACTGCTTAACAGCCTAAATATAAGCCCACAAACCAAACGTCTGCCTACTTTCCCAAGGGGATTATAGAAGGAATAAATCCCATATGCAGATCTTCCCCTCAAAGTATCTCCAGCCCTATCAGAGCTTACTGAAACTACAGGCAGTATCTGCCAACTTGTTCCTCTTCAAAGCAACCAAGTAACTTGGTCATTTTTAGTCCTGTAATCTGGAGGCAATTCCTTTGGCAAAACCAAGACAGTATTCAATGAAAATTCACCCAGAAAGCATACTCCCATGTTCTCCCTGTTACCCCGCTTGGCCTTTAGCAGTTATGGTCACGACAAACACACACAAGAGGTTACGCTGTTCTTAGGATATGTCCCCTCACTTCCCAGGTGATATACAGGATTTGTAAACCTATTTATTGCTTCTCAATTATCAAACCACACATCAATCCATAAAGGGGCAGTAGTTATGAATACCTCCATATTTTCTCACCTGCAAAGGTGCACAAAGTTCTAGTTTAAAACACCCTTTCTTCGCTTAAAAAAAGTACTAGAAAGCAACACACATTTGGAGGGCTTATCCAATTATAAAAGTGAATTCTAATCTAGAAAAATGCTACTCTTGCCAGGGTCCAGTGGTTTTATCCAACCTGCTTAAGCTACAGACTACTCCATGATTTCCACTTTAAAATTTCCAGTATAAAAACTATTTTCTCTGATTTTTATGACCAATCTCAGACAAGCAAGAATGTGCAAAATTCAAGTTTGTCCTCTACAGTAGATGCCATCTTGCTCTCTGATACCTTATGTATCAGGCCAGAGCATTTAGTTTCTCTTCCAAGAGGTCCTTACACAATCACTAATCCTGGTAGTTGTACACATACGGAATCACTTCTTGAAACTTAAATTTGCACTCAGAAAAGACCAGCAGCAACAGTTTCTATAATATCACTGCACCTATCTTTAAAAAGCAACTGCACAGAGACCTGCCTTCAACCTGACACAGATGGCCAATACTCTTTCTGAATCCACATAAAACACTAACACAGGCAGAATACATTCTTTCTTTCTATACACATTGCTTTTATACTTATTCTCATTAAAATCCAAACCATCCCTGTTCTGTCCAATCAGTCAGCCTGTTTTGTTTTCATTAAAAGTTTGGTCCTTACTTGTGTCACCTGTAAAAGTGTCAGTACCTTACTAGCCAGCTGCTATCCTGATCATTACAGAATATCTCAAGTGCAGCTTCTGGACTCTTGAGTTTACCTATGTCAAGATTAAAATCTTTTTGGTTTGTTTGTTTTTGTTTTTTTTTTTTCGCTTGTGCCTTTTACACAAACAAACCCTTCACTTTCATCCCACGACTCCCTCAGCTTGTTCAACAGCCTCCTGGATAAGAACTTGTCAAAGGCATTTTGAAAGCTCTAATTTATTTTTTTTTCCTCCTTTGTCCACAACAATGACAAGTTCAAAGAGTTCTCAGATCAGCATGATACAATTTTCCTCTGCCAAAACCACGCTAATTAGACTGACATCTCATGACCTTCCTAGTACTGTTCTATCTTCTTCCTCCTGTATTTGCCAACCATGAATATAAGGCTGACAGGCTTGTGTTCATGCCACATTTTGCATAACAATTTCCTGTATGGTACGAATACATAAAAAGTTGCTGAACAGAAAGGGCTACATTAAGATAATGCAACTATAAGCCATGCCTAATGCTCACAAGTAATAATGAAATCAAATGACAGATTGTTTTTAATATAAAACTTGACTGAGGAAACAAAAAAAAAAGAAAATACAAAAAGAAATAAAAAAATCCAAGAAAGTGTAATCAAACAATAGCTGACAACATTGCATAACTTCTTTCTGCCACACAGCTGAAAGGGAAAGGAAAATAAGGCTAAACTTTCCACCACCAATCTAAGGCAGCACAGTAAATATAACAGAAACAATTATAACCAGTGACACCAGACTAGAACACAAATGAAATCTTTGTTTCAAGATGGTTATTTAAATTTGCAAATTAAACCACAAAAACAGCAAACAAAATTTCAGCTAACGTAACTGAAAAGCAACACAAACACTTTTCTTGAACTTGTAAATGATAATGCCCTTTCTTTTCCCCTCTACTATTCAAAACCATGGCTATTGATCAGCTTTGAATTCTGTGCAATAACAAGTAACATTAGGCTTAGCATGCTCTTCGAGACAGAAAAAAACCCCACCTATCTCCAAGTTTCTGTTAGATATTCTGAAATCCAACTGAAAGCATTTCATCCTTTCCTGTGTGTTACTGTTGGTAAGAGGCACCTCTCACACCTACTATAACAGACAAAAGGCTAACACTCTATAATACTCCACACCAAAAAAAAGACAAAAATCTCTTCTCAATCTAATAAATGGCCCACACTTTCCCAAGTCTCATCACAATGCTTCCATCCCACTGAGGTTTATATCTCATTTGACATCAGAAGAGATTGCTTCTTCCTTTGCTACATTTATGCAGCATTTTTCATCACAATTTTAAGGTTATTGCACTCAAAACTGTCACAACACAGAGGTTGTCAGCAGGGTTTAATTATATTACTAGGCTGTTACAGAGCCAATACAGAAGTTAAAGTTAATGGGAAAACATTAATCAATGTTTCCTTGATTTGTATATAGATTTCATAGAAGGATGAAAAGAATTCTGTCTGTAAAAATAATAACTAAACTAACACATTACAATAAAAGACTAGAGTTAGAATGAATATAATATTTTTAACACCTGAGCAGGACCAGCCAGCACAAAAAGAAAACTTAACAAACCAGTGACTTGTACAACACGATGAGTTATAAAGCACCTGGGTTTTAGTCTCTCCTCCACTAACATCCTGCAAAACCCTGGCCAGTTTTGTGCCTCTCCATGCACGCAGGAAGGAGAACACTTCCTCCAAGGACCTCTGCTCAGGAAAAGGACTTCGTGTTTTTTTTAATCATATTATGAAACTTAGATCCATATATAATCAGTAATATATATATTTAATCATGAGGGGTTTTTTAATATATATATCTGTAGATATATATATATATTTTAAAAAATATTACTACAAAGTAGTAACTTAAAATCCCAAGTTCTGGTAGACATTTTCATGGTGAAAAACTGGAAAAATCCCCCATGACAGAAGGAAAAAAGCATTAACACTGAAATCAAATTAAAAATGCACTCTTTTACAAGAGAAGCTGACTTAACTTTTGAGAAGATCTTAAAAGTTGTAACTCCCCTGGCTATACAACAATCAAGTCTTCTGAAGAGCATACATTTGTATTCTCTGCCTGATAAAGGTTTTCTATGACTGCAGAATAAGATCAACTTTTCTGTCCAACTGTTCAACTTGATCATAGAGAATTCTATCAGAGAAACACCACTGCTTTAAGACACACTAAGACTTTCATCTCACCACAAAAGTTTCAGAATATGAACAGTTATAATAGTTTAATTACGTATTTCCTTTATACAAGGGAAAGTGGAAAACACTACATGTACCATTATTCTGGTTTCCCTCGGGTTTATTTTGAACTCAGATCACTTCTTAATCCAGTGTACCCAAGGCAAATCCTCCCTGGACATGCTTAACCCAGACATATAAAACTGATCAATTCTTTTTTTCTAATCCTACAGAAATTACCAGAATAATGTAATAAACTACAGCCTCAGGTACTGCCTCTTCAATAGGAAGGCAGGGCCAAGCCCAGCCACCATCTCACCTGTTCTTATTGGGTTTTCTTTTCCACACAAAGTGCTTGGGATTCTAACACCCTGGAGGAAGACCACACCAGAGTAAGTTGCTGTAGTTGACTAATACCAGCATTTCTGTGTTCCAGATAGAAATAAGCAAGGCACTGTCCTAAACTCCCTTGATAAACTTCTCCCTGGTGACCCAGTCGTTCCCTAGACAAACATAATCTCTCTCACAAAAATCAGCCACAGTCCAGTTGCCATCACCTCAGGTAAGCAGTAAATATCACCTTAAATTTGCAAAGCACTTCTCATGATGAAGAACCCCAGCATGCTTTACAGCCTTGAAGCATTAAGACAGACACCTAAGATGGGCACAAAGGAGCCTAAATCAGGTATCTGGAACCTGATATTGAGAATGACTTCACTCTAGCACATATCTTAGCAGCATGAAAATCACACTGACCATCATCCCAGGTCACTTTGCCCAGTAAAATTAGAGTTGTTACATGCATTTATAAAAATAACATGCAAAATTTCTCAGACAAGCACAAAGAAATAACAATGCAAAAGATCTAGACAACCCACACATGCTTTTGGAAGCACTTAGTTATGCACAAAAGGCTTTGTTATGAAACTGGAACAATCTTTGTAAACAATTTGAAATAAAAATAACACAAAACCTGAGGAATAAGGAACCAGCAGCTTTAGAGAGATGAATAAAAAGACAGCAAAAGCCATTTTATTTTACTTATACACCATAGGCTTAACATCACTGATCTTCTCAGTCCTTCACTCAGCTCACACTGGACGCTGTGTGCAGATAGAGGCTGCTCTGATTTCTGGCAGCAAGCCTTTAGCTGGTGGCAATACTTACCCAAGCAGCAACACCAGCCTTGCAGGGGACTCACCATAAGCATCAGTTCTTCTAGTACTTTGAAGACACAATATTTGAATCCAGGTTTTTGTTTCATCAACAATTTTGAACATTGCTCTCCATATGAGTTGTATACATACCTCTCTAGCACATCTGATATATGAGAGAGGATATCACAAGCAAGGGGTCAAAATCCTTCTGTTATTAAAATAACATTAGTACAATTTGGCTCTACAATATCGTTAGGGTCCAAAACCTTATGTCTGCATGAGTTGTCTCAAATTGTTCATCTATGTAGATTCTCTTTCAGCTCTCCCAAATTTGCATGCATGCATAAGGCCCTATAGTTCATAAATAGACAATACAGCCAAT